CTTGGTGCATGGGTTGATGCTCAACCACTGAGCCACACTGACCTGACTGTTGTTTTTTTAAAAATGTGTTTTTATTACCACCAACTTACACCATACACAAGAATAAACTCTAAATGAATAAAAGTCTTAAATGTGACTCATGAATCCATAAAAATCCTAGAAGAAAATGTAAGCAACAAAATTTCAGACATCACATGCAGCAGAATTTTCACTGATACAATGCCTAAGGCAAGAGAAACAAAGGAAAAATGAACACATGGGACTATATCAAACTAAAAAGCTCCTGCACAGCAAAAGAAACAACCATCAAAATGGAAAGGGAGCCCTGGCCGGTTTGGTTCAGCGGTTAGAGCATCAGCCTGCGGTCCTGAGAGACCCGGGTTCGGTTCCCGCTAAGGGCGCGTACCTCGGTTGCAGTTTGTCCCCGGCCCTGGTCGGTTGTGCGGGTGGCAGCTACTAGATGTGTTCCTTTCACATCGATGTTTCTCTCTCTCTGTTCCTTCTCTCCCTCCCACTCTACCTGAACAAAAAATGGAAAAATGTCCTCGGGTAAGGATAAAAAAAAAATGGAAAGGGAATCCACTATATGGGAAAGCATAATTGCCAATGATACATCAGATAATGGGTTAATTTCCAAAATATATAGAGTACTCATACGACTCAACAAAATGAAGACAAAGAACCCAATTAAAAAATGGGCAGAGGAGCTAAATAGACACCTCTCCAAACAGGACATACAAATGGCCAAGAGACATATGACAAAATGTTCAAAGTCACTAATCATCAGAGAGATGCAAATTAAAACAACTATGAGGTATTACCTCACACCTGTCAGAATGGCTGCCATCAACAAATCATCAAACAACAAGTGATGGTGAAGGTGTGGAAAAAAGGGGACTCTAGTACACTGCTGGTGGGAATGCAGACTGGTGCAACCACTATGGAAAACACTATGGTGTTATCTCAAAAAGTTAAAAATTGAACTGCCATTTGATCCAGTGATCCCACTTCTAGGAATATACTCCAAGAAGCCTGAAACACCAATCAGAAAGAATATATGTACCCCTATGTTCATAGCAGCAGTATTTATAATAGCTAAGACCTGGAAACAGCCCAAGTGTCCATCACTAGATGAGTGGATAAAAAAGCTGTGGTACATATACACAATGGAGTACTATGCTGCTGTAAGAAAGAAAGATCTCTTATTCTTTGAGATGACATGGAGGGTCCTAGAGAGTATTATCCCAAGCGAAACAAGCCAATCAGAGAAAGACAAGTATCATATGATCTCACTTATTTGTGGAATATAATGAACAAAACAAACCAATGAGCAAAATAGACCCAGAGACATAAAAGTAGGGTACAAACTGACAAACCTCAGAAGAAGGGGTGGGAGGGAGGGAAGAGATAAACCACAGAACTTATTTGCATGTATGCATCCACAGTACAATGAACATAGACAGTAATGCTGGGGATGGGGTGGCGGGGATCCGGAGAAATGTGTCAATGGGGGAAAAAGGAGAAACATCTGTGACAAAAACAAATTAATAAAAATAATTTAAAAAATACATTTTTATTGATTTTTTAGAAAGAGAGGGAGGGAGAGAGAGAAACATCAATGTGAGAGAGAGACATGGATTGGCTGCCTCCTGCATGACCCCCACCAGGGATCGAGCCTGCAACCCAGGCATGTGCTCTGACTGGGAATTGAACCGGGAACTCTCAGTCCATGGGACGATGCTCAATCCACTGAGCCACACTAGCCAGGCTGTTGTTTAGAGTTTTTAACAGTTCTAAAATAACAATACCAAGATTCTTAGTAATAATAGAATTACTGAAGTCAGCTTTTATTTGTTTTGTAGTTTTTTTTTTTTTTTAAAGATATATCCCACTAAGGATTCCCTGTTAAATTTCTGTTTTAAACTTTAAAGTCATTTAAAATAATTATTTTCTATTCAGTTGATAACTCCAACTTGATATATAGTTAAAGTCATTCGCCTAATTTTATTTCTTTGTTTGGAGACTGAAAAGCCTGGTGGGCCTTCCAAATGTTAGGAATTGCAGATAATTTGGTTTGTCCTCCAGAACAGGGGTTCTCAGCCTTGAGTTTATACAAGAACTCAATTAGACACCTACAGGGCTGGTTAATACAAATAGCACTTTGCTACACCCTCAGAGTTTCTGGCTCTGTTGGTCTGAGCTGTGGCCCAAATATTTGTATTTCTGTTTCCAGTGATGCTGCTGCTGCTGATCCAGGGAACACACTTTGAAAACTGCTGCTACAGCACATAGCCAGTGAGACAGATATCTGGCTCCATTAGTCTGTGACTGGGGACAAATTATTTCCCTTGAGTCTGTTTCTTCACTGGTAAATAGGTATAATAATCTCTGCCCCATAGGGATGGTAGGATGAGATGTGATCATTACATGAAGCATTGAGCAGGGTGCCTGAAACATAATAGGTGTACAGTATATGGTGGCCGTTGAAGCTATGGACAAAGAAGTCAATGCTAACAGCTTTTGCTTGAGTCTAGAATGTACTTATATATCAGGCACTATTTGTAATGCTTTTATGTGGTGACTCATTTACTCCTCAGTTTAACCGACTTAATTTTTTTTTTTTTTTTGGTACGTGCCCCTAGTGGGAACACAACCCGGGACTCTGGTCCGCAGGCCGACACTCCAACCACTGAGCCAAATTGGCCAGGGCAAACGGACTCCATTTTGCATTTGAGGAAACCAAGGCAGAGAGAGGGTGAAGTAAGGGCCCCGCAGCTAAAGTAGTAAAACTCTGCCTCAGGCAGGCTGGGCCTGGGCCCTCACTCCCTCTGCACACTGCTGCCTTGGTGACCACTCTATGGTGTTAGTGCTAATTGAGCTGAAACCTTGGCTCATTTACTCATCAAACATTCCTCTAGTTTATAGAGACCTTGAATTGGAGTTTCTATAAACATTCATATATTAGTTTTTGTTGATCATAAGATTTCATTTTTCTAGGATAAATATTGTGGAGTGGGGTTATATGGCAAGTGTATGTTTAATTTCACAAGAAGCCATCAAACTCTTTCTCCAGAGTGGCTATACCATTTTGTATCTCCACCAGCAATGCACGAGAATTCCAATTTCTCTGCATCATTGCTAGCAGCTGATATTGTCAACAACAAGATTTTAGCCATTCCATTAGATGTAGGTGGCATTTCATCATGGTTTTAGCTTGTATTTTCCAAACGACTAAGAGGTTGAACCTCTTTTTATGTACTTATTTGCCATCTGCGTATCCTTTTTGGTGGAGTAACTATTCAAGTCTTTAGTCCAGTTTTAAATTGAGTTTGTGTTCTTTCTGTTGAATTTTAAGAATTTTTCATATTTTTTAATACAAGATTAAAATTTTACAAATGATTTACAAATATTTTCTCACAGTCTGCGGTGTATGTTTTTATTTTCTTATTTATTTATTTATCTATTTATTTTTCTTATTATTTATACACCCATTGATTGATTCTTGTATGTGTTCTGACTGGGGATCAAACCCACATCTTGATGTATCGGGACCACTCTCTAACCAACTTAGCTACCTGACCAGGGCTCACAACTTTATTATGAGATAACCAACAGCCCAAGAGAAAATGGACAAAAAAAACAACAACTATACATGAATGTTTATAGTAGATTTATTTGTAATTATTAAAATGAGAAAATAATCCCAGTGGCCCAAATGGCCTTCAATTTGTGAACAGATAAACCAACTATGGTTCATCTATACAATGGATCACTACTCAGCAATGGAAAGAAACCAACTACTAATACACCCAACCACATGATTGAATTGTAAATGCATTATGCCAAGTTAAAGGAGTCAGACAAAAAGGTACAACATTGTTGAAAAGGCAAAGCCCATAGGGACAGAAAATAACCACATGGTTGCCCAGGATTCAGGGTATGGTGAGGAGTCAACATCAAAGGGAAAGAAGAAAATCTGGGCGGGCAATGGAACTGGACTATATCTTTTTTTTATATCCTCACCTAAGGATACGTTAATTGATTGTAGAGAGGGAGGAAGAGAGAGAGAGAGAAACATCCATATCAATTGATTGCCTCCCGTAGGCACCCAACCAGGGCACCCCATCTCCAGTTTCCAGAAGTGAGGAAGAAATGTTTGTTGTTTAAGCCACATAGTCTATGGTGTTGTGAAATACCAGCCAGAGCTGACTAAGGCAATATGATTGGCTGGCCTGGGACCCATATCCGTTCCTGCCCAGAGAAGGAGGAAGGGCAGCTCCCTAACAGAAGCTGGATACTATTATCAGAAGAAAAGGAAAAGAAACGCTGGACAAACCCCACAGATATTTTCATTACAGCTTCATACACACATTTAATGATTGATTCCTTAAGAGGTTACAATTTATTTTAATCCTCACAAGCAAACATTAATTTATTTTTGCTTTTATGTTTTGGAGACTATAGATAAGTAGAGTAAATTCTACATACAGGTAAATATAAATCCTTTAGAATTTTCCATCTATCCCCCATTTTTTAAGAATTGGTAATATTTTAAAGGCAGAATGGTTTGAATGGCTCCATATATAAAAATAAACTTTTTTTTTTTAAATTCTCACTCGGGGATATTTTTCCATCTATTTTTTTTTTTTTTTTTTTAGACAGCGTGGGAGGGAGGGAGAGAGAGAAATATTGACGTGAGAGACACATTAATTGGTTGCCTCCCATACGACACTGACCAGGGCCAGGGATCAAACTTGAAGCCCAGGCACATGCCCTTGACCGGAATTGAGCTCTTGACCCTTCCTCGGGCTGATGCTCTAACTGCCAATCCAAATGGGCCAGAGCTGGACTTTCCTTTTGTTTCTTTCTTTAGTTTATGTCCATTTTCTTAAACTTTAGTACCTAAGAACAACAGGATGAGGTGGTTTAGTATACATGAAACTTGCTTATTGTACTTTATGGACAATGAAGGGATTTTTTAAAGAATAATTTTTTTTTTCCCTTATAGCTATTTTCAGGGACCTTAATGCCTTCGATGTCTTTAAGGTTTGTAACATGGCTTTACGATTGCCAGCTTTCTCTAAAGTTTTGCAGGAACACATTCAGTTAATAAAGGGTAATTTACACCCTTTTTTCTTCTCAATTGCATTTGTCTTTAGAACCTAACCTTCTTCAAAAGATGAAATCCTCTCACCCTGCCCGGTTTGGCTCAGTGGCAGAGCGTCAGCCTGCAAACCAATGAGTACATGGCCAAGGGCTTGTACCTCTGTTGCGGTTTGTCCCCCGCCCTGGTCGGGGTCTTGGGGGGGGGGTCAACTTGGTCAGGGTGGTGCAGGAGGCAACCGGTCAATGTGTCCTCTCACATCGATGTTTCTCTCTCTCTTTCCCTTTCTCTCCCTCTCTCCCCCTCCCACTCTGTCTGAAGATAAATAGAAAAATATCCTCGGGTGAGGATTAAAAAAAAAAAAAAAGATGAAATCCTCTCTACTAATGTTTACTGAGCATCTACCATATGACCAACATCTCACATATTTTACCTCATTTATTTATTTATTTTTGGTATGTGCCCCTAGTGGGAACTGAACCCGGTACTCTCTGGTCCACAGACCGGCGCTCCAACTGCTGAGTCAAACCAGCCAGGGCTATTTGACCTCATTTAAATCATGTGAGGTTAAGGAGATGTTAGTCCAATGTTATAGGTTCAGAGAATTTAAATAACTTACTCAAACCCACACAGTTATTGAGTATTGGGGTTAGAACACAAATACCCATTTGTCTGACTGCAAAGATCCCATGCCTCTCTGTAGGGGCTCAGCAACTTTGAACAGTTCAATGTAAGGGTTATGTGCACTAGCATTGTGCAAACTAGTCCCAGATTTGAATCCTGAAATTTCCATTTTCTAGAAATGCAAGGATAAGAGCAAATGATATCAGCATTTTATGTGTATAATGTCATTCAACCTTCCTGAACACTTGGAGTGAAATACCACTATGATCATCTGCTCCATTTTATAGATGAGAAAACAGCCTTAAGAGCGATCATGAGCAGGAATGAGACTTGGAACCAGATGTCTGATGCCAGTGCATGTGCTCAAAACTGAATGATATGAATTTTCAAAAGAAACAAAAGTAGTCAAGAAGAATTGAATCCACTCTATGGAATGATCTATATGGTGCAGTAATTAAGAATGTGCACTCTGGGCCCTGACAGGGGAGCTCAGTTGGTTAGAGCATTGTCCTGATACACCAAGGTCATGGGTTTGATTACCAGTTGGCACATACAAGAGTCAACCAATGGTCTGGCTGGAGTTGCTCAGTTGGTTGAGCATCATACTGTGCATTGAAAGGTTGCCAGGTCGATTCCCTGTCAGGGCACATACTGAGGTTTTGGGTTCAATCCTTGGTCGGGGCAGGAATAGAAGGTAGCTGATCGATATAGCTCTCTACCCCCCCTCCCCCTCTCTTCCCTTCCTTTCTCTAAGCATGTCCTTGGGTGAGGATTTTAAAAAAGCCCTTGCCGGTTTGGCTCAGCCGTTAGAGCGTCGGCCTGTGGTCCAGAGAGACCCGGGTTCGGTTCCCGTTAAGGGCACGCACCTCGGTTGCAGTTTGTCCCCGGCCCCGGTTGGGTCATGCGAGAGGCAGCCACTAGATATGTCCCTTTCATGTCAATGTTTCTCTCTCTCTTTCTCTTCCTCTCTCTCCCTCCCACTCTATCTGAACAAAAAATGGGAAAATGTCCTCGGGTGAGGTTAAAAAAAAAGAGTTGGCCAGCTTGTGTTGCTCAGTGGACTGAGTATTGCCTATGTACCAAGAGGTCACTGATTTGTTTCCTGGTCAGGGCACATACCCGAATTTCCAGCTCAGTCCCCAGTAGAGGGCACACAGGAGGCAGATGACCTGTGTTTCTATCTCTCCTTTCTTCTCCATCTAAAAATCAATTTAAAAAATATATAAAAAGACAGTCAACCAATGAATGTGTACATAAGAAAAATAACAAATTGATCTTTCTCTCTTTCTCTGAAATCAAAATTTTTAAAAAAGAGCCCTGGCTGGTTTGGCTCAGCATAGAGCATCAGCCCAAGGACGGAAGGGTCACAGGTTTGATTCCAGTCAAGGTCACATACCTGGGTTGCAGGGTTTTGTTTTTTTATCCTCGCCCGAGGACATTTTTCGATATTTTGTTCGGATAGAGTGGGAGGGGGAGAGAGAGAGAGAAACATCGATGTGAAAGGGACACATCGAGTGGTTGCCACCCGCACGACCCAACCAGGGCTGGGGACAAACTGCAACCGAGGTATGTGCCCTTAACGGGAACCAAACCTGGGTCTCTCTGGACTGTAGGCTGATGCTCTAACCACTGAGCCAAACCGGCCAGAGCATGAGTTGCAGGTTTGATCCCCAGCCCCGGTCAGGGTCGTGCGGGAGGCAACCAATCGATGTGTCTCTCTTACACTGATGTTTCTCTCTCTCCTTTTCTTTCTCTCTCTCCCTCCTTCCACTCTTTCTTTGATTTTTTTTTTTTATCCTCACCCGAGGACATTTTTCCATTTTTTGTACAGACAGAGTGGGAGGGAGAGAGAGGAAGAGAGAGAGAGAAACATCGATGTGAAAGGGACACATCGAGTGGCTGCCACCCGCACGACCAACCAGGGCCGGGGACAAACTGCAACCAAGGTACATGCCCTTAGCGGGAACCGAACCCGGGTCTCTCCGGACCGCAGGTGGGCGCTCTAACCGCTGAGCCAAACTGGCCAGGGCTTCCACTCTTTCTTTGAAAAAAAAAAAAAATCAATGGAAAAATATCCTTGGGTGAGGATTAACGAAAAAGAGTGGGCATTCTGGGGCAGGCTACCTGGGGATAAATAAATCTCAGCTCTTCCACTTGCTAGAGGTATGGCTTTGGACAAGTCATTTAATGTCAGTGTAATGAGTTTGGGCAAGTCACTTAACGTCTGTAAAATGGCCATACAGTAGTACCTTCCTGTATTAGTTTCCTAGAGCTATCATAACAAAATACTACAGACTGGGTGGTTTAAACAACAGAAATTATTTTTCTCGTAGTTCTGGAGGCTAGGAGTCCAACACCAAGTTTGTTGTCAAGTTTTATTTCTTCTGAGGTCCCTCTCCTATGATTGCTTTCTCACTGTGTTCTCCATGGTTGTTCCTTGGTCTGTGAACTATATATCCTAATCTCTTCTTATGAGACAATCCTCTTGGATTGGGGCTGACCCATATGATGTTATCTTACCTTAATTACCTCTTTAAAGACCCTATCTCTAAATACAGTCACATTCTGAGATACTAAAGGTTAGGACTTCTATGTATGAATTGGTGGGAAGGGCACAGTTCAGCCCATGACACAATCTCATAGGGTTATTATGAAAATGAAAAGAGACAAGACATGTAAAGCAAATATCAGGGGACCTAGAATGTTCTAAGAGCTTAATAACTGTTCAACGTAACTAAACACTTAACTTAGATATAAGGGTATCCGGCCCTGGCCGGTTTGGCTCAGTGGTATAGCGTTGGCCTGCGGACCAATGAGCCGTGGGTTTGATTCTGGCCAAGAGCACGTACCTCAGTTGCGGTTTGTCCCCGGCCCTGGTCAGAGTCGTGCAGAAAGCAACCAGCCGATATGTCCCTCTCACGTCGATGTTTCTCTCTCTCTCCCTTACTCTCCCTCTCTCCCCCTCCCACTCTATTTGAAGATAAATAGAAAAATATCCTCAAGTGAGGATTTAAAATGGGTATCCAGCAAGATACAAATCTTTCTTCCCTAGGATATTGGCTGGAAGTACCCTGGTGGCTTCTCTTCTCAGCCAGGTGCTCAGTCCAGTATCATCTTTACTTTAGTAGTCCCCATCTTGATCCCACAACTGTTCCATTTTGATCTGGCCACTCCATGGGGACAATGAGAAATTCTCAAATTTTCTTTCTGTAACTGCTCCAAGGTTAGTCTTCAAAATGAGGAGACATTCTTTCCCAGCTATTCCCAGCTCAAGTGCCTTTCCAATACTGCTGCTATTTCTACTCTTTGGGAAAGTCACTTATTAAAATTTAATGACAATCACTTACATTTATAAAGCCATTTTCAATTTACAAAGCTCTTTTCCATCCACTATTTTTTTTTTTTTTATTCCTCACCAGAGGATATTTTTCTATTTACCATCAGATAGAATGGGAGGGAGGGAGAGACAGAGACAGAGAGAAACATCGATATAATAGAGCCACATTGACTGGTTGCCTCCCACACAATCCGACTAGGGCCAGGGACCAACCGCAACTGAAGTATGTGCCTTTGAGCAGAATCAAACCTGCGACTCATTGGTCCATGGGCCAATGCTCTACCACTGAGCCAAACTGGCCAGGGCTCCACTATCTTTTTTAATCCTCACAATATCTGTAGGAAGGACGTTTTTCTCTATTTTATAAATGAAGAGAATTGGATTTCAAAGAGTAGCATCATTGTCCTGGGTCACACCATTGAACAGTGTCAGAAATGGGTTTCAAATTCTGGTCTTTTGGTTCCAAGATGTCAAGAGTAGCTCATATATTCAGGCATTCTTTTTACAGTATAAACAATCTAGTATATCAGCTCTGCTCTCTTTTGTGAGGATGTAGGTAAGTTATTTGGGACTATTTTGTTTGGAAGTGACAAAACCCAACTCAAACTGGCTTAAGCAAAAACTGAACTTACTAGCTCACCTAACAGAACAATCCAGAAGCAGGTTTTCCAGTGTGGATGGATCTAGGTGCTCAAACTATGTCATCAGGACTGTCTCTCTCCATTTTTTTTTTAGAATTTTTGTAAGAGTTTATTTGAGCCAAACTGATGACATGCTAGAAAGCAAGATCTCAAGCATTCCTCTCTCCACTTCTTCACTTCCTTCTGTGTTCATCTTATTCAATGACAAACTCTCTGCTTGGGGTATCAAAGATGGCCCCAGTAGCTAAAGCTTACAATTCCTCCAGCTCAACAATCTCAGTAGAAAGAGAACATCTCTTTCTTATAAACAGCAACAAATGACCTGGATATCATTCTCAATTATTTCGGTTGGCTTATGGACCCCACTCCTGAACCAATCATTGTGTCTGCTATAATGGAGTATTCTCATTGTCCAGACCTGATTATTTGCCCTCTCCTGCAGAAGATTACGGGAGTGGTGATGATGTGGGTGTCACCTAACCCAGGGATGAAGTAAGGGGGAAAGGAGTTTCTTTAAGAAAAAGTATTGATGTCAGAAGTGGTGTGGGTGGTATGCAGATCTCTATAGGGTGCCATTGCTCTGCGGAGCTAAAATAGAACAACTAGTGAGGAACTGGGGGCCCATCTTAGCAAGAATTGTCAGTTCTTGCCTCAAAAGCAGTAAATGAACTTCTGTGTTTTTGTCCTGGACTGCCTAGCTTGGCTCAGTAGGATAGAGAAAAAGGCAGTAATTCACGGCAGAGTAGGTAGAAAAGATGGAGCTTCTGGATCCAGTAACTTGTGTACAGAACAGTAACCAAACAAGTACTCATGGAAGGAGACTTTGAGGTACTCTTTGAGGATGCCTGCTTCCTCCTCCCAGAACCTTCTATCTCCCCATGAAGCTGTGAGCTCCAGGAGGGCAGGGACCACATCTGTTTTACCTACCATCTTCTCCCCAAGGCCTAGCATGGTATTTTGCCTGGCACATAGCAGGGGCTTGTCATATGTTTATTGCCTAGATTAATAAATTCATGATCAATCAGATTGATCAACCTATTTGGCAGGATTGATCCACCTCTTTGTATAAGTCAATCCCGCTCTTCGACTTTTGTTCTTGATCTGTCAGGTGGGAGAAGATATAGAACAAGACACACTCCATAGCCACTTCCAGCTTATGGGTCCAGTATCTTAGGGCTCTCAGGAGACAGACAGGATGCCCTCTGCAAGAAACCAATAGAAGGTAACCAAACTTACTGAACACTCTGTGCTCAGGTGAGATGACCTCACATGGGTTTGAGGTCCCCAATTTATGGGATTTCATGGACCCATTATATATATATATATATATAAACTATATATATATTAAATATATATATATTAAATATATATATTATATATATATTAAATATATATATTAACTATATATAGTTAATTTTTTCCCATTGATTTTTAAAGAGTGGAGGGAGGAAGGGAAGGAGTAAGAGAGAGAAACATCGATGTGAGAGACATAGATCAGTTGCCACCTGCATGACCCCAACAAGGGCTGGGGATTGAACCTGCAACCCAGGTATGTGCCCTTGACTGGGAATCGAACTCATGACACTTTGCCTGAAGGCTGGCGCTCTAACCGCTGAGCCAAACTGGCCCAGGGCTAATCTTAGCTTTTTAAAACCAAAGTTTAATCTGCCCACTTTACAGATGGGGAAACAGAGGTTCAGACAGTGCAAGTACAAGAGGTTTAGAGAGTGCAAGTACAAGGTCACAGAGAGAGTAAGTAGTCAGAGTTTGTTTGAGTGTCAACCCAGATCGCCTTGGCAGATTCTAAGCCAAAGCTATTTCCCTGGATGGGTTAAGACCCATCCTTTGGTTCTTGGAGTGCCCCCAGGGTGTTCTCAGCCTCATCTTGAGCCTGGATTTCAATGCTTTGTTCTTAATGATGTACCCACTTAATGCCAGGCACTGGTGAGAGTGAGGGAAGGTAACCAACACGTTCCCAGCCTCCTCTCCTTTCCCCCGATACTCACCTTGGAGCCTGTTCCTTGTTCTGGAGGTCAAAGAATCCCCACCGCAGTCATGGGCCGCTAAAAGTTTAGGGGGTTCCCTCTCCCAGGGGTGTTGGCAGCTTCCTAGGGGTCTCTGGGAACCTTTAACGCCTCCAAGACCTAAGGGACTAAAAGCGAAATGGTGCATCTCGAGGCACTGTGATAGGCTGGAAGGAAGGTAATTTGGGAGGAAAACATCAGTTCAAATACTATCAAATAATACCGCTTTCCGCCCCTCCCCCACTCCCATGGACTTGGCGGGGACCCACAGCTCCAGAGCTTAGGCTGGAAGAAGGGTGTCTCCCAAACCAGAGGGCCCTGCTGTGGAGGGGATCTATTGATCCGGGTGGGGCACGCAGGCGACCGTGCTACCCTTCCCGGGTTCCGCCGGCACCGCACGCTTCGACGCGGGAGCGCGCCTCCGCCCGGCCGTGGCAGTGCACGAGAGCGCGCGCCTTGGCGCGGGAGCGCGCCCCGGGGAAAGCCGGAGCAAGATGGAGGCCGCGCCGCGGCCGCCGCCTGGGCCGAGGCAGCTGCTGCTGGGAGCGCCGAGCCGCGGCGCCTAGGTCGTGCCAGTCCCGGACCCGCTGCCCCGACCGGGCCCAGGTTGGTCTCCCCGCACCCCGTCCCCTCGGTCGCAGCCTCCGTGTGCGTCCGGCCTGGGCGCGGGGCAGCCACCCCCCATCCCCGGCCCTACCTGGGCCCGGCCGCTCTCCAGCGCCCAGGGGACATCTCCTGCCTGCCGCACGACCTTCCTGGTCCAGGCTGCCTGCTGGCCTCGGTCCCTCGTACCCTTGGCCTGGAAAACCTCTCTCTCTAGCCCTGGCCCGCCAATCCTAGGCTCCCTCCCAGCCTAATCCAGCCCTAGCTTCTGAGGGATCCCTCGAACCCCCCCGCCCCGGGTCCAGACCCGGCAGTCCCAGCCCCCGACTACTATCTAGCCTCACCCTGATACCGCCACTTCGCTTTCTTAGACCTTTATACCAACCCCCACTCCTTGTCCCAGCCCCCATATTACCTTCCCAATCCCCCAGTACCAGTCCCTTATATCCCCTTCTTACCCCATCATAGAACCTCCCATTCCTCTCTCCATATCCCTTTTCTAGACACCCAATATCAGACCTCCTACTCCTAATATCAGCTCCCAAATTCCCTTCCAAGCTCTCTCTATACAGCCCCTCTGCTAATCTCCAATACCGGTCCCCAGCCTCCATTCCATCTCTGCATGGTCCCCTCTTTACTCTCCCAATACCAGCCTCCATGCACCTTCCCCAACTCCCCCGTGACCACTTTCCAACACCCCCATTTCAGCTCCCATATCCTCACCACAGCCCCCTCATCCCAACCCCCAACTTTCACATGACCCCTTCTTAAGTGACCAACTGGAGATCTTTGGCCACAGACACTGACCCAACACTCTCATAAGCCCCTGCTAGCTTCCCCATACCAGCCCCCGGGTTTCCCCAGCTCTGCCCTAGGCCCGGCCCTCGCGAGTTCCTTGCCTCAGGGCGGCTTCTCGCGTGCATCCCCAGCTCCCGCCCGGCAGCCCGGCGGTCTGTCCCGGGCCGGCGGCCCCCGCCAGCTGCCGCCGCCGCCGCCGGCCCCGCCCCCGGGCACCATGCTGCCCTCGCAGGAGGCCTCCAAGCTCTATCACGAGCACTACATGCGGAATTCGCGGGCCATCGGCGTGCTATGGGCCATCTTCACTATCTGCTTCGCCATCATCAACGTGGTGGTCTTCATCCAGCCCTACTGGGTGGGCGACAGCGTGAGCACCCCTAAGCCTGGCTACTTCGGCCTCTTCCACTACTGTGTGGGCAGCGGGCTGGCCGGCCGCGAGCTCATCTGCCGCGGCTCGTTCACTGACTTCAGCAGCATCCCGTCCGGCGCCTTCAAGGCGGCCGCCTTCTTCGTGCTGCTCTCCATGGTGCTGATCCTCGGCTGCATTACCTGCTTTGCGCTTTTCTTCTTCTGCAACACGGCCACGGTCTACAAGATCTGCGCCTGGATGCAGCTCTTGGCAGGTAGGGGAGGGGAGGGGGCGGGACCCCTAGAACAGGCCCAGGGGACAGGGCTCTTTACTTCTAGGACCCTTTCTTGGAGGAGTCAGAGACAGGTTCTGTTCCTCTGTCTAAAAACACACCTCCTAGATTGTCCCTCAGCAGCCACTGCGGTGATGGGAGAATTCTGAGAAAGACACTTTGGGACAGAGGTCAGAACCTTAGAGCTGGGTCTTTGGGGCTGTGTGGTTGGATATGGGTAGACTGCATTTGTTGATGGGTTAGCATTATGTTAGTCTCTGAGGGTCTTTGAGACTCTCTGTTGGTTGTTTCAAGGGAAACTATCTGAATGAGGAGTTACTCTAGGTGTGAACAATTTTGTCGTATTGAAAAAAGCATGAGATGGGGACTCGAGATCTGACTTTGACCTTTAATGTGCTGACATCATCAACTTGGATGTTTCACTTTAATTCTCTGGAGCTTGGTTTTCTCATCTATAAAACACTGGAGAGGATTCAAAAAACAAACGAAAGAGTATCTTGTAAACTTTAAAGTGCTGTGCTAAGATATAGGAGGAGGCTGGTCATAGTGCCTATTCAATGTTTGAAGTGTGGATGGTTGACAGCACCTGCTAACATGGGTCTCTGGAGGACTGGTTTCCATTCCCCACCTTCACTCAATGCAGGGAGGAGGGTTCTGGTGCTATGCCAGAACTCTCTGTAGAAATGAGTTCCTGGGACCCTCTGTAATGTTTGGCTTAGACAGATATCTTAACCTAAGAATCAAAGAAAGGCCTTTGGGAATAAAAACTGCTGAGACAGTTTTCCAGGATCCATTAGAGTCCCCCACGCCTGCCTGCCTTTCGATCAAAGACAGATTTTGAAGATTCAGCAACTTGGGCATTTGCCTAATGGCAGGCAGGGAAGAGAGTTGGGCTGGGGAAAGTGGGGCCAGAGAATGGGGGAGGAGGGCTAATGAAGGCTAGGAAAATGTTTGGAGTCCTCCACGGTGAGAAGAAGAAGGAAAATGTGATGATCATGCAACAGAAATAGGTTTTCAAAATAAACACCTCAGAGCATTTAACAAGTGTTTTTAAAATTATTTATTGATTTTATTTTGGAGAGAAAGGGAGAGAGAGAGAGAAAGAGAGAGAGAGAGAGAGAGAGAGAGAGAGAGAGAGAGAGAAACATCAATTTGTCATTTCACTTATTTGTATGCATTCATTGGTTGCTTCTTATGTGCGCCCTGACTGAAGATAGAACCTGAAACCTGCCCTGGCCGGTTTGGCTCAGCGGTTAGAGCATTGGCCTGCGGTCCAGAGAGACCCAGGTTCGGTTCCCGCTAAGGGCACGTACTTCGGTTGCAGTTTGTCCCCGGCCCTGGTTGGTCGTGCGGGTGGCAACCACTCAATGTGTCCCTTTCACGTCGATGTTTCTCTCTCTCTCTCTCTCTCTCTCTCCCTCCCTCCTGCTCTATCTGAACAAAAAATGGAAAAATGTCCTCAGGTGAGGATAAAAAAAAAAAAAAAGAACCTGAAACCTTGGCATATCAGGATGGTGCTGTAACCCACCAAGCTACCCAGCCAGGGCTACTATTTAACAAGTTGGCCCCTTCAAAAGAGTGCCCTGGAGGAAGTATTACATCACTTGTCGATTTTTCCACTGCTGGAATTATGTTTGGAGCATGGATGTATTCTCTTAGGGGTCATCACTGAGGGGAAACTTCCATCTTTGTTGTTGTTGTTGTTGTTAATCCTCACCCGAGGATATTTTTCCATTAATTTTTATATAGAGAGGAAGGAGGGGGAGAGAGAGAGAGAGGTGAGAGAGACACATTGATCCTGCACAACCCTGACCAGAGTAGGAATCAAACCCACAGGTTAGAGCTGACTCTCTAACCACTGAGCCAAACTGGCCAGGACAAAAATTCCTTCTTTTAAAGAAGGAATATAATTTTGGGAAATGGCTAGAAGTGTAGAAAATATGATGGATGACAATTGTCACTTGGAATGAAAGCCGAGGTATGAGGGCAAAATCTTGAGGCTGATTTACTTCCCAAGAGGACTTCTACAAATGCAGGGAGGAATTACTATGCCATTGGAAGAATTGCCCAAACTCGTGAAAGAACTACTTTGAAAAAGGCAATGTTTATTCAGATGTGAATATCCTCATAGGCTTGTTTCACTCCATTCAACTTAGATAATGGGTCTTTTAGGATCCTTGTAGCAGGTGAGAAGAATTATAGGGTATGGGGCATATCTCTCCATATTTCTCAGTGGTACTCTGAAAATGATTTTAAATATTTCCGTTCTATTCTTCTTCCAAAGGCAAATTGGAAAGAATATATACTCAGTTGGAACCCCCAATTCCTCAACCTTAATCTGGAGTCTGCAGATGGATTGCTGACCTCTGGCTTTTAAATTCTCTGTAATCCATTTGGGTTTAATCTTAGAGACTGGATGAACTGATCAACAACCCCCATGTAATTATAGAATTTCAGGGATCTTAAAGATCAGCTCTTTCAAATACTGCCTTCCCCTGCCCCTATTTTAGAAAGATGAAACTGAGTCTAAAGAAGCTATAGTCTTACCCAAAGTCACACAGCCAGTAAGTGAGTAAACTAGTCTCGACTCCTAGCCCAGTGCTCTTTCCTTTGTGTTACTGTCCCACTCATGAGGACTATTATCAGAGTTGAGCAGTTTATTCCATTTTGCTTAGAGATTTCTGAGTTCTCTGGGTAAGAGACAATACACTTTGCTTAATAAAATGACACCAGGATAGAGTCCAGAGCACTGGACTACGGTCATGGATGGGAGGTCTCAGCTGACTGCCTGTGATTCACCATGCAGTGCTAAGCTATTGTTTTTAGCTTAAATCTCAGTCTTATCTGTATAAGGAGGGTGGGGGAGCTAATCAGTTAGATTAGTGAACTTAAAGTATCTCTGCACTGTGGTACTCTTAGAAAAACACTTTCACCATGATCATTCCATTCAGAAAGTGAGATATAATTTGTCCTCAGAGGAACTGCAGAGAAGCAAAGGGCTTTGTTTGTATCAGATAAAAATTAAAATGCTGGTTGCATGTTTCTTGTTTAAGTGAACTTTCATTCAAGTATTTTAGAGTCTCCCAAGTGCTGAGAAAATACAAAGAGATACTTACTCTTTTGTTTATACCCTACCTGCTTGGTGATTATCCTTATGTTAGGTGCTGCAATACTGAGATCATCCCTACCCTCAAGGATTTTAAGTCTATAAAATGCAATCCCTGCTCTCAAGTTTACCATCTAGTTAGATCACCATATTGGTCAGCAGTCTTTCAGTGGCAAGTGACAGAAACCAAACTCAAACTGGCTTAAATAAATTAAAATAAAATAAAGAGGGTAGCCCTGGCTGGTGTGGCTCAGTTGGTTGGAGTATTTTCCCATGAATCAGAAGGTTGCAAGTTCAATTCCCATTTGGAGCTCATGCCTAGGTTGTGAGTTCAGTCCCCAGTTGGGGCACATACAGAGGAGGCACAGGAGGCAATCAATCGATGTTTCTCTTTCACATCGATGTTTCTCTCTCTTTCTTTCTGTCTCTCTCTCTTTCTCTCTCTCTCCCTCTCCCTTCCTCCATCTCTAAAAATAAGATAAAATAATGTTAAATTATAAACAGTGTAGTATATTTGACTTATGTAACTTAAAAGTCAAGAGTATCTAACTTCGCCCTGGCCGGTTTGGCTCAGCGGTTAGAGAGTCTGCCTGCGGTCCCGAGAGACCCGGGTTCGGTTCCCGCTAAGGGCACGTACCAGGTTGCAGTTTGTCCCCGGCCCTGGTTGGTCGTGCGGGTGGCAGCCACTCGATGTGTCCCTTTCACATCGATGTTTCCCTCTCTCTCTCTCTCTCTCCCTCTCTCTCCCTCCCACTCTGTCTGTACAAAAAAATGGAAAAATGTCCTCGGATGAGGATTAAAAAAAAAAAAAAAAGAGTATCTAACTTTAAGCATGGGTGGATCCAGATGCTCAGATAATGCCATTATAACATGTCTCTTTCCATTTCTTGGTTCCTCTGTGTTGGCTTATTTTTAAGACCGCTTCTCTCCTGAAGGTGATAAATACAGCTACTAGCAGCTCTAAAATTGCATTACTATAGCTTGGCAATGTCTGTTGAAAAAGAACACTTGTGCCCTGGCTGGTTTGGCTCAGCGGTTAGAGCGTCGGCCTGCGGTCCGAAGAGACCCGGGTTCGGTTCCCGCTAAGGGCATGTACCTCGGTTGCAGTTTGTCCCCGGCCCTGGTCGGTCGTGTGGGTGGCAGCCACTCGATGTGTTCCTTTCATATCGATGTTTCTCTCTCTCTCTCTCTCCCACTCTACCTGAACAAAAAATAGAAAAATGTCCTCAGGTGAAGATAAAAAAAAAAAAGAAAAGAAAAAGAACACTTGTACTCCATGGTTCCAGCAAAAGTTCCAGGGCTGATTCTCATTGGCTCAGCTTTGGTCAGGTGTCCACCTCTTAATTAATCAATGTGATTTTGTCTAAGACCTCAGCCACATGTTCATCCCTGGAACACATGGACTGATAGTAGAGAAAGGTCAGTTCTTGCAAAGGGAATTCAAATGTGACCACTAGAAGAGGGATACTCTAGGTAAGACAAGTGCAGACAGAGTGGAAACTTGGGGCAATTGAGGAGGCTGCGGGCTTAATTGGAAGGTGAGGCTTGAGTAGGACAGGGTGTGGACAGGCATGAGGAGTGAGAGAGCATTTTAGTTGTTGTTAATCCTCACCCAAGGATATTTTCCCATTGCTTTTTAGAGAGAGAGAGAAACATTGATGTGAGAGAGACACATTGATTGGCTCTGCCTCCTGCATGATCCCAACTGGGACTGGGATCGAAACCTGCAACCCAGGTATGTGCCCTTGATCAGGAATGTACAGTTTTCTTGTCTTTGGTCCACAAGCCAATGCTCTAATGGCTAAGCCAAACCAGCCATGGCAGGGAGCATTCTGAATGGAGAGGAAGATAATGGGCTGAGGCACAGAAGTGAGAA